AAATGCAATGCAATGCAAAAAAAAAAAAAAAAAAAAAAAAAAAAAAAAAAGCATTAAGAACACATTAAACTACTCCAAACAACTCTGGAACAGAAGACAGACCTTAATTACTTTTGTTCTTTCTTCTATAAAATTTAGATCACCCTAGATACACCAGGATGTAGGGCCTAAGTCCTACCCCACATGATGTGACAGATTTTGATGATCCCCCATGGGAAGCCTCACCATGCCTGAGAAGGCGGAAGGGATTGGGAGGTGGGTGGGTGAAATGGGAGGATGGGAGGGAGAGGGAGACAGGATTGGTATGTAAAATAAGATTGTTTTTAAATTTAAATAGAAATTAATTTTTAAAAAGACAAAATTAAAAAAAAAACATTCCTAGCTCCCTATATGCAATACTTCTTTTCTTCATCACAACTACATACCATCTCAGTTTTATAGATGAGAAAAGTGAGCCTCAAAAGTTGTAGATTGCCCATAATCAAGGTAAGTCCCTTTGACTAAATAAGCAGCCACATAACTAAGGGGCAGAGACAGACAATAGACTGTTCTAGCTATCAGAAGCCTACTTTTGGATCCTAGCTTGGAGGCTTCCAAATGTGTGATATAATCAGTCATCTTACTCAAAATATGGTACAGGATCAGTTTCCCTCACAAGGTGGCTGTGAGTAGTTAATAGCTACCACACTTATCCTCTTAACCTGAACTTAAATGGGTTCATAAATTGTAGTTACAATTTAAACTTCACAAAGTTTGTAGAGCAGAGGCAATTCTGTTTCATTAAAGGAGAAGGTAGGGTACATGAGGGGGTATTCTTACCCTTGTTGTTGTTAGTTTCACTTACTCCTTTTCTCCTCCTCTATCATTTATATCAACCCTAAAGCTCAGTGGAATAGTAGGTATCAGATACGTGTTTTTCACTTCCCTGATTGCTTTTAGTCATCTCTATGTTTGGAGCTACTAATACCAGGATAAAAACAATACATCTTGGTTCCCCAGACTCTAAACACAGCTTCTCCTCCACCGGGTTTTGCTATAATATTAAGATGGCAAAACTTCATGGAATATGGAATGTCAGAGATGGAAAGGCCTTGAAGGCTACTTAGCTAACTTACCCATTAGCCATATGGGGAAAGCTCCTCTAATCATTCTATTACTTCACCAAAGAATGAAGAAACAAGAGAGTCAGACAACGTCGAGGTTCACTGAGTTAGTTGAAGATTCTATTACTACACCTTTGTATATTTGAAAGACAAAAACTCCTCTTAGCTTCATAAACTTTCCTAAGTTCAAGTCTCCAGCCATATCATCAATACTATCTGAAGTGACAAAATATATACCTCACAAACTCAAGCCATTGCATGCACACATATGATGGCATTCCTTGTGTATCCACACAGGTATGAGCTCTTCAAAGATTTTAACAGAGCTCACATTACTACTGGAAGTGATGCCTAACCATGACGTACAACTTACAGACAGAATTTGTGCACAGGGAAGAAGATGGCTTTAACCTGCATAGGTAAGGAGATGACTCTTGCTTTTACTTTTGTAGCTTCCAAGTCACTCTTGTCAATAGCCTGGACTCTGGAGAGGGGGATCTGACTGAGATTTCAGGAGTCATTTCTGAAATGCTTTCTAACATTACATGATATGGAAAGGTTTTAGGAAAGCTCTTGCTTGATGAAGCAATATCAATCTTTGGCATTTGTGTTAGAATACAATAAGCAAGTCATGCTCATTGCAAACTTCTTTAATGTTTTAGCAAAGTGGCATGTAGAAAGTAAACAGAATCAACTGACAATTGCCTCAGTGAGCATGAGTTAGTAGATGCTTGCTCTGACCTGCAACTGGATGAGCAAATGTCTCTGTGGATCCATCTGCATGTGTTTTCATGCACAGATTACCCCAAGAGTCAAATAACCAAAGAACACAGAATTTACCACTTTCTAGAAATATCAATCCTGAGTGTTTTCCTTTGTAGCACTCAATATAAGTATGTGGACATATGCGGTTAATCAATGTCCCTCTCTCCTCTAAGAAGAAGGGCAGTGTTTATTTCGTTCATCATTGTGCCATCTTCCTTAAACACAGTGTAGGGTCTATAATCAATGCTTAATGGTTATTTCAAGATTAAATAAAGGAAAGACAGGATAACTAGATGACCAAGGGCTTGGCTTCAGAGTGGAACTCTATTATCTAATTAACCATGTAACTTTAGTTAAATCTCACATTTAATGTTAGAGCTAAAAGAATCTTAGTAATCACCACATGGAATGATTGAAATATTTGTTTAAATGTTGTTTTTCATTCCAACACAGAACCCATGTGAAAACCAAATTTTAAAGCAGATGCAAGCCTTCTCTTTATGGATGTGAAGGGCAAAGAGTCCTTCCTGGTCAGGCTTTTTGGTCTTCATACCTTATTACAGCGGTTTCTATGGCTACCAAAACCAGTCATCAGCAATTCATGTAAGCACAGGTTGAAAATCGCTAATGTGAATTATATCTAACTGTTGATAAATGAAGAAAGTGGAATGAGGAGACAAAGGCAGGATCTCCTAGCTTTGTACAGTACACAGATTCCAATAATTCTAGCATATTTGTTCATAGGTTGTGAACTAATAATTATCATAGTTGGCTTCAAGCCTATTTTTTTAACTCTTCTTGTCTATAAGACTTTGTTAAAGTCACTCATGAAATGATCTTTTTAAATGGGAAAAAACATAGTCAAACAACCCCAAGATGGAAACTGTCCTTGTGAGTCTCAAATGAAAATCAAAGTTATACACAAAATCACAAAATAAAGGTTTTTTTTATATAAAATGTAGACAGAATTAGGTATGCAAATCTCAAAGAATTATGTCATGCTCCATCATCAAAACCTCAAAGTCAAACTATCATGGATCAAGCACTTCAGAGATTGTCAAATCTTTTCCAGCAACCAGCAAATACTCATAATCCTTGCCTTATGCATGATCATAAAACAGCAATAGCTGTATTCTGCTAGAAATGGATTTAAGGATCCAAATTTGAAATGAGACAGTTAACTACTGTTCTCAGGTAGTTTAAGAATATTTCTTCCAAGAGGAAGCCTTCTGAAGCAATCATAATTTAGAATTCTGACTTTTTCTTTCAAGAGTAGAAATGCCAACAAGTTTTTCTTATTTGTACTCAGTTTCCTTATTTTATACAGTCTATTTATTATTTTTCTTTGTATGTTACTTTTTTATAATATTCAAAGATACCTTTTCCTATGATTGTTTTCTATTCTTCAGGGCCCATAGAAAATTCACCCATGAACTTGTGCATATGCAGAACTATTATTGTCAGACCTCAAGACAATTTCACATGATAAGCATTTTCATCTGTTTGACAATTCAAACATTCACTCATCTAGTAATCAAGACCACAGGATGGCTGGCTACTTTCCATATCAACCACTTAGGAGGCCTAATGTCTAAATTTAGGCCTTGCTCTCTTCAAGCGAACATTCTCCTGCTACTGTTCTTATTCTGTTTCAGCAATATTAGTATTTGCATTTTCTTTATGGATATTAAGACAAAATTTGCAGAGCAGTTTTTGAGTTTCTTCAATTAAAGTTCAACACTCATTGAGTGTTTAGTATAACAATCATATCACAAATGTAAACCTGAGCATCAATGACATAAATGAATGTTATACATGTATGTGCAAGTGGGTATGCAAAAACATGATTATCTAACACAAAAACTGATTCCAGTTAGTTATATAGAGATATATGATTACAGCTAATAAAGAAATCAAGGAATACATTTTAATTGAGAAATGATTTATAATTAATGTGGAATAAATCTAACATTTTGTAGTTATGTCAAGTATATTACAGCTAAGTAGAACATGGAACCTAAGAAAAATAGATGAAGAAAGTAATTCTGGTGGTTGAGGAAAAGAAAACAATACTGCAAATTATAGCACTTATTGTCCTGAGTATTTTGAACTTCCTATCTCTTGTCCCTCTTTGGCCAACAAATCACCAAGTAGAATTCTCCCTGAAGTTAATTTACACGTTTACAGATAAATTCTCTCAAAATTATCTCAATGGTTGTGGATCGTTTTCCCCATAAATCTCTTCTCCAAGTAACAGTAGCTCACATACAGGGCACTCTAGCCCAGATTTATTCTATTACCAGCAATCACCTATTGTTATAGTTGGATGCTCTGAGAAACAATTTCTACCACATGATGCATTTTATCTGAACCATTCAATTTCCCACCCACTGTTTTTCTTCCTGGGTGTTCTCTGTAGCTCAGGATGCTGCAAAAACTTCAGTTACCTGTCCCCTCCCCATGTCTCCTAATTTGCATGACTACCACCATGTGAATGCAAATAATTCATGAAGTTTTCTCTTCTTGATCTGTCTATTAGGCATGTACAATGTAGACTCATTTACTGAACCTTTAAAAGTTCATTCTGCTTCAGAATAGTTTAGTCTTGATTAAAAAAAAAAAAAAAAAAAAAAAAAAAAAAAAAGGTTGTTCAGTGAAGGTCTCTATCCAAAATTCATGTATATATTTGGATGGAAAACTAGATTTACCAATAGTATTTTCAAAAGAAGAGGACTGTCATGACAATAATACAGGTAAACATGGGGTTAAATCTAACTTTACAACTTTTGAAATTTTGTCTTTAGGAACCATTACTTAACCTAGTTTCTAATCAGTTACCTAAGTAACTGAGTAAAGCAGAGAACAAAACAAAACCTACATTAGATGAATACAAAGTATAAATGACATACTAGAACAGCCATTATATTGAATATACTAGTACTCAATAAATATTGATTATTTGGTCTCATCATATTAATATTTTATACAACATCGAATACATCCAATTAACAGCCTATAATGAGGTCACAGTCTCTTGTCCTAGAATTTTCTCCACACAACCAGGCGTCAGACAATGTCTTTCCAAAGCAAAACAGAAATGAAAGGCAAGGGCTCTCTTAGCCTAAATCATACCTGTATATTTTATATCTGGTTGTAAATCCTTGACGGTGTCTTTCCACAAAGGATAGATAGCTCCTGGAGTGGTGGAAAGGCCCCCTGTCTGAAATAAGCCAATCAAATTCCTTGGAGACATGTTGATCTGTCCCAGCTGGCTCCTGGTGGGAGGGCTGCACTGAGATACGGCCCCATACAAACAGGAAGTAGAGGAGCTCAACAAACCTCCAGTTCATGCTTTTCTGCAGGCCTTTTTCCTCTCATTCTTGCTCCATTCTGTGGAGTCCTGTAGAGAAAAAGATCAAGGAGAGAGAGAGGAAAGGGCAAGGGGAAACGGGGAGAAAGACAATGAAAAGAAAAATTGGAGGTTAACATATCTTCATTAGTAGGTCATCACTAGAATGCTTTAATGCCTATGAAATCATTACTGCTTTGTTAAAAGTGCAGGACCTATGGTGATTGGGGCATAGTCTTACTTTGCTTTGCTGTTCACATGCAATATGAAGGTATGCAAACTGCATAAACTATGTGGTATAGTTTCCTTATATACAAAGTAAGGTCATGCTAAGGGCCTGTTTCTCAATCCCTGATATATTACAGATGTACAGGTATATGTGTTTTAAGTGTAAATGAAACAAATTAACATACTAACAGATACTAATACAAACAAGTAAGGTTCTAGGACAGAACTAAAATTCTGCCTTAACCAGAAACCTGTCTCTCATTACTAAAACTTGATGAGTTGGAGTGTCTTTTTCTTCCTTTATACATAGGTAAGAACACACTGAGTACTTTTTTCTCTTTTTGTATGGTCAATTAAATGTCCATAGTCTTATGATAGTCAACAGTCTATTTTGCATGAATACTTTAAGTTGAAGAACTCTTACAACAGGTGAAAGTCTAAATTCTACACAGCTACACAGCTCAATAGAATCTTTCTGGACCCTCAAGGAAGTTTTTGAACCAACTATTCATTTATTGGTACCTTGAAGCTTCAGTATATTCTAACCTATGGAGGGATCACTAAAAATCAAAGGTTAGGGAAGTGGGCAGGTCTTGCCAACATTTTTAGTTGGACAGTATTACAGCACTGTGGCACTATATTGGACAAAATTTTGAGTTCAAGAGAGACTTTAGGTGGGCAGGTTTATTTTCATGAAGAAAATAGAAACTAGTAGCAGGAAATATCCAACTTTCAGAAGATGTAAAAGTTTAGTTTTGTCACCACACTGGTAGTGAATGCTTGCCCGGTAATTGCTGCTTGCCCCATCATGTCTTTGTTTCTCTAAGCAATCTTGCCACGGTCCACATGGTAAAGGTTTAACATATTTAAGTTGCATCATTTATAAACAATTTTATTTCAGGTAAATTATTTTGTTTGCCTTCTTTTCCTAATCTATAAAATGAAATTAATGAAGATACATGTACCAGAAATAACATAGTGACTGAATCACAAGGAGCAGAGTGTCCCCTTCACTCCACTCTCCATAGGGACAGAACAAATGCTCAATACATGGCACAAATAATAAGGAGAATTGTCAGGATCACAATGATATTAATGTTCTCAAGTCTTGAGATGTAGCTAAATAGTAGAGTACTTACTGAAACCATTGACTTAATGTTGTCAACTTAACTATCTTCTAAGAAATAATTTTGTTCACCTTTTTCTTATGTCTAAATGAAGCCTGATTTAGCCTTGAAAGTCATTTGAGGTCATGTACTCAGGGTCATTATCTTTCTCTATTCATTTAAAAAGCCATTGTTCTATTCTGTCCACCCAACTCTATTTGCTAATTTTCTAAAACTCTATGTCAGTGCCAATTGTCCTGCATTGCACCTCTTTGTTTTATGTCTGTGTTGTTCACTGGGCTGTGAAACTTTAACCGGTGAGAAGCTTTACAAAGCTGCTTCTTATCTTGGCTAGCCATGTGATTATAAAGAGTCACAACCCCTCACTAGAAGTATGATTTTTATGGATATCATTTAAAAATATGATGAGGACACCCACTTTTTGTGAACTGTAAAACCTATACATATGATTTAGTATACCTTATTTGGTGATCCTCCCAGTTGAATATGGGAGGTCAATGATGCTAGAGAAGAAGTCAAAGAGGGCTACATGTTTCTGTACAACTAAGTATTTCCCTTGATTGCTCAATTGCACCATTTTATAATTAGATACCTCAAAAATCTGCCTGTTGTTGCAAGCCCAGACTGTCAGGGTAAAGGAAGAAAGCATGTGTGTGAGTGTGAACTGAAAAAAAACTGAAGCCTGAAGTTTTGTTCAGAGCCTAAAACAAAGCCAACGCTCTACATGTTGAGTACAGAACTCTATCAACAAAGGCTGCCAGGATTGTCTGACAGACCCCACCAGAGGAAAAAGGAGGGTGTAGGAGCAATTGTTCAGAGACCTCTGGAGTGAACTTCGACAAGATGGAATGACACTGTACTACCTATAGAGACATCTATGGAGTTTCTGCTGTGAGTGGGTATGAATGGGGGCCTATGAGAGAATGTTTAACTGTTATTGTGAGAAAACCGGATGCAGAGCAGCACAGCTTACAAAAGATTATAGATCTAACACTGGAATGGTGCGTGTGAGAGAGAGAGAGAGAGAAAGAGAGGGAGAGAGATTTCATCCTGTAATCCTAGGAGTACCTAAAATTGTCTAAGTCTTAGGGACATCTTTTTTTATAACATCACAATAGAAGGAATAGATAGAAGTCAAGCATGTATTGTTTATCCATTACAATGACACTGGATGATAGATATCAATGGTTCCAAACTGAGGCTCTCATTCAATTTATTTTACGATGTCCCCAGAAACAGTGACCCCTGTCTTTTAGCTTCTGTTAAGTAGTTCTACTTAATTCCATAGTCTTGGCTTAGTAATGGTCTGCATGCCTCTTAGTTTTGAATGTCTGTGATAATCTACATTATAGGATTTTGTGAGGTTAGAATGTTATTCTGTTGACTAAGAAAATCATAGTAGGTCAGGGAACACAGCTCAAGGCTTGAGTGCTTACCTGGCATGCATTAAACATTGAATTCAATCACCATTACTGGAAAAAGGAAAAAGAAAAGAAATAAATATAGAAGGAGGTAGGGAAGCATCTACCAATGAAACACATTCTCAGCCTTGTGCAATATGAGAATCTGAATTCAGGTCATCAGCACCTTTGCAATAAGAAGAAAACAAAACAACAGCAATGATGAAACTAATGTGGCCATGTGAGCATATAGGCTCTGCTCTGGGAAGCAGAAACAGAAAGATTTGAGGACTTGCTAATCAGCTACACTAGACAATCAGTGAACTTCCAGGCTCAATGAGAGGCCCAATCCAAGAAAACCAATGTGGCAATAGATAGAAGAAAACACCCAACTCCTTATTTCTATGTATACTGAGGAGTTTCCTTCACTGTGCCTAATAGGTCAGTGGAGCTCTTGCCCATATTCCTCCTGCTTCCAAAATCAGCAAACAATAGATGTACTACAAATAGCATCCCCTGTTCTCCAGGACAATGGCTGCTGAGCCACAAATCTTAAAGGCAGCCCTCAGAATCTTCCACGATGAATTTGAGAATAGTTGATCTTCTAAAAGTTTCATAAAGAGGATTCTTGCCACTGGGGTTCAGAGCCTAATCATTAAAGGCAAGATGTAGGTTAAGTGTGGCCCTTAATGCTCGAGACCTTTTCAAAGAATCACAGGCACTGCTGTGTGGCATTAGTTGACCTAAAGAGCAGACATGGGCTGAGACATAAAAATCATTTGATGCCCATGGCTGAACAGGGGTGTTATATGCCTGCAATGCCATGAATTGAATCAAGTAAGTTTAGCACCTACAGAGCCTGTTTTCTTACTGTTATACTCCAAACTATTCACATTAGAGCCACACACACACAAAGAAAAAGGTAACAGCAGTAGGTCCCCAGTAGTCAGTACCAAATTCATTCTTAGGAGTCTACATGGATTACAGGGCCAAAACTCACATACTGGCCCTGAGTGCAGGAAAGAATGTACCTACCCCTGCCTCAGGATTCCCTGAGGACATAGGTAAATAATTACATCTGAAGGCAGCACATATCCCCTAATGGCTCCAGTTGAGACAGTTTGTTGGTCTCATCAAGGCTTTTACACCCAAATTTGTGTCTTTGACCAAAATGTCTCAGTGACAGGAAGACGTGCAAACTGAAAGAGTGTGGCTATGCTAATTAAATCTCCTGAGTCTTGATTTCCTGCATCTTTTAGAATACAGCTTAGAATTGAATAAGATATTTTAAATGTACCTATTTCAGCTTAGGGTTAAACTGAATTGTACAACTATTGATATACCAGCCACATTCTGAATAGAAGTCTGTGACCACCACACCACACTTACCAAAAATACAGCCAAAGAACACTTAGAGGGATTAACCCCTCACCTACAGCATAGCATAAAATGTCTTTAAGACTAGGAGTTAGATTTGAGTGGAAGCTGACAGTGCAGAGCCCTGCCACCCACTCCCTGAACTCCTCAGGGGGTGAAAAGGGGAGAGAACTCCTCCACCTCCAGCTTTGACAAGAACACTCAAACAGCATGCTAAATGTGCCCTACAGCTTAGGGAAACATGGTAGAGTGCTGCCTAACTCATGCCAGAGAATTCTAAAAAAAACAATGCTAAAGAGAGGAGTTGAAAGAGGCAGGCTGAAACCTGGCAGAATAACAGGGAAATGACTGCCTAAGGCATGGGTAAAAGGAATGTGCAGACTCCTCCTTTCCATGGGTTAGAGATGGGCCACATGATGAAGAAAGTCAGGGGACGTTACCTAGCATCCCATCTCAGATCAGGAGTGAGTCCAAGTACAAGGAAACTAGAATGGTGCTGCCATTTACCCAGGGTCTAAGAAATGAGTTATAGCAATGCAGCTGAGAAGAGATGTATTTGCACATATCAAAACAATTAGTAGCAAGAGAGCTGAGTGGAAGCAAGGTAGCTCAGACACTTCAAAACTGTTCATTAGGAGAGGTTCACACTGGCAGACATGGTGAGACAGTTCTGTGAGACAGTACTTAGGAAATGGAAACTGAAGAATCTCAAGTACCAAGCTAGCCTACCCTACAGCAGTGATGCTTGTTGAGGGTTCAGAGTACCAAAACCACATTATCAAAGAGAACTACCCATGGAAGGGATGCCTGTCTTCTTCACTTGTCCATTCTTGACCAAACTCTGTGTCCAAAGGACATCAGGAAGTCAGAAAGGTCTATCACAGTGATCTTGCAAGGAACAGAGGACTCTGAACAGTGA